ATTAAACCATCAAAACTATCTACGGGCAGTTTTGAATCTGTCGCGAAGTGATGAAATTGACCATGGCAACGGCTTTGTCTGCGGCTAATTATAGCCTTCCGGAGACAAATTCTTGATTTCTGATATTTGTACGTTTATCGACCAAATATTGAAAATCTAACCCAAACACCATTTATAACTAGGTATTACCTAAATTTGAGCAAAATATGAAAGAAATCTATTTTTCATCTATTGCCACTGTTTGTTCGATTTTTACGGACAGTCGCTCTTAATTGCAATCGACGCGACCAACATTTGACGTATAAAACAGGCCTTGGACAATATATAGCGCGATTCTCTTAAAATATTCCACCATGTACCATTTTAACCATACGAAAGGGTTATTATTTATATATTTTTCTTTATTCACGCTGTAGCATGACACACAGTGCTCGCGCGTGCGCTATCTGTATGTATCTATGTATGTAAAATTTTATTTCAATACGCTAACTTCGACAATTATTTACAACTGGTTTCCACGAAGGGCGTATACACACAAAGAGCTAAATGTTAATTATATATAGAACAAAATATGTAAGAATCCCACCCTAAAATTTTATCATCTTCCTCCCAAACCTCCACCCCCTAAACAAGTACCCACCCACCCTCACGCAAAACTAAACCCCTCCCGCCCACAATCTATATTGTCCTCCCATCATTTGGTCCTGGAGAAATTAGCTTATCATCTGCTTAAATGCAATTTCGCCGTTGTTTTAAATGACGTAATTGACTCAGCCGCCTTGACATCTTGCGGGAGACTATTCCATAGAATTGCTCCACTGTATCCAAATGTTTTCTTTAGAAATTCCGTTTTCGGTTTTTTTAACGAGAGATCAGTTTCGCTATTGCGTAAATCATAAATATTCTGCGATGCATTTCTCCGAGAAAAAAGATCTTTAAGGTTTGGCTCAGTGTGGTTCCCCAAGACTTTATACATCAATACTAGCTTGTTTTGTTCTCGTCTCCTAGCCAAGGTTTCCCAGCCTAATTTGTTTAGGACTTCAGACGATCTTACATCGTAGTCAGCTCCGGTAATCACCCTTGCTGCTCGATTTTGGAATTTTTGCAATTTGTCTTGAAGTCCCAAACCACAGTTATCCCACAGGGGAGAACAGTAATCAAAATGAGGCTGAATTAATGTTTTGTAGACATCATGTAAGGTTTTGTGTCGAACATAAGGTTTTATTCTTTTAATTGCTCCTATTCCAGCGCTAATCTTATGGCATACAGAATCAATATGTTTCTCCCAACTTAATTTTTCATCTAGATTTACACCTAGACATTTAAATGTATTGGTTTGTGGGACTGGGATTTTGTTAATCTCAACGGGTCTATTTCCTATTTTATGATTTAGATTATGCGTAGATCCAATAAACATGACTTTTGTTTTTTTCCTATGATATTTTAGTTTGTTTTTAGCAAGCCATTTATGAATACTGGAAAGGTCCATATTCAAATTGTCAATCAATGTATCGTAATCATGCGAAGAGGAAGATATCTGAGTGTCATCGGCATAAAGACATGGGGTTGTCCTTTCTAAAATATCAGGCATATCATTAATATATAGGAAAAACAATAATGGACCAAGTATGGATCCTTGCGGAATTCCGCATATTATTGTTCTTGCAGAAGAAGTTTGATCATTAACAGAACACACTTGCTTTCTATTCCTTAAGTATGATTGGAACCATTTTAATTCAATGTCGTGAATTCCAAACTGGGTTTTAAGCTTCTCCAATAATATCTCGTGATTCACCGAGTCAAATGCTTTACATATATCAAGAAAAACAACTCCATTTATTTTGCCTTCATCCATGTCTTGTAGCCATTGATCACACATTTGTATAAGAGCACCTAAGGTTCCATGTTTTGGTCTAAACCCGGATTGAAATTTAGACAGAAGCGCATGTTTATTCAACTAGGGATCCAAGGATAGTGTGAAGTTTCAAATTTAAAAAGACACTGCAAGAACTATATAGGGTCGCCGACAACCTAGAAAAGCTTGATGGCTTACACTACGAAATAAACAGTTACCAAAGGCATTTCATCTCATTATTTATTGCTTTTAATACACTCGGCACACGAGTAGCGTGACGTTTGAAACAAGCCTAACACATCAGAAACGTGCCTTGTGAAACTGATGCAATTCATCTATTTATTGTGTCACCAACAACCAAATTTTGCATATTCTAAATTTTCATTTGCATTTGCAGCTGTCGCTGAAAGCATCCCCACGAGGCTACTGCTATGCTAAATTTATCTAATAAACTATAATTGAAATAGCTGTATAAGATATGTTATGAATAATAAGCACTACGCCGTTACATCATTAAAAGACGCATTTTATCCTCATCCGTTCCGTATTTTATCCGCATATCCGTTCCGTGGATCCGCTCCATCCGCTTCCGCATTTTAACTTAATTGTGACATGTTTCACAATAACAAGTTTCATTGACCTTTGACTTTTCCCAGTGTGACGTGTGTCTATTTTCAGCTTTTCGCATGTGTTGAATATAAATATCACCTTAGATTTCAATAGTTTCACAGTTATAGCAGTGTTTGTAAAACATTGACAAGCTTTGATACAGTTCTGTGTACAGAATACTACAGATTGATTCTCGTAAGATCTGGTAGAGTTATCGTTGCACTGAATACGAGTTTGCACCGTTGACAACGGCGTTGTGCTAGACACTAGACAGTAAACAAAGACAAGGACAAGGTCCGTGAATGTACACGTTGGCTACATGTACCTCCTTGCTTTTTTCTTCTATTGCATAAAGCTTGTTGGCGAGCCAATTAAGCGATAACACGTTGGTGATAACACCTAAACACGTTGGCTATCTCCTCGTCTTTCTTATTTATACAAGGAGCTCTGACTCAACTGATTCCTTTTTAATAGTCTCGTAAGTTTTTTCTTCGTAAACGCCGTACAAACGTTTACCCGCTTCTGTTTAATAGTTGTTTATGCTTTATTGATCTGATACAAATCTGATGCAATTTTTCGCTCTTTGTACCGAGTATAGCCATCTATTCTGTGATGTAGCACCTTATACAGTCAATGAGATTGTATAATGAATACACGGTCTAAATAATATCGACGGTAATGCATAACATCAATTTATATATTGTATTACTATTATTGCGTAGAATCTCAAAGATTTTCTCAATATTCATGTCTGAAATGTTTATATACTTGAAAACAACACTGTCTCGCTTCTGCCTGCACGTACTGTACCTCTGTATAATGAGTATGCCGTGAAAAAATAATATCGGCACTCAATTGAATGCCTAGAAGCAAGATTTTCGACTCAATATTTACGTCTGAAATGTTTATACACTTGATTGCACTGTCTAGGCGGTCTAGCTCCTTCCTAGCTCTGTATAATGAATATACCGTCTAAATATTATCGGCACTTATTAAATTGAACGCCCGTATTACATAAGATCAATTTATATATTGTGTAGATTTTCAAAGATTTACTCAATATTCACGTCTGAAATCTTTATATACTTGAAAACAATACTGTCTCGCTTCTGCCTACGTACTGTACCTCTGTATAATGAGAATACCGTGAAAATAATATCGGCACTCAATTGAATGCCTAGAATCAAGATATCCGACTCAATATTTACTTCTGAAATGTTTACACACTTGACTGCACTGTCTAGGCGGTCTAGCTCCTTCCTAGCTCTGTATAATGAATATACCGTCTAAATATTATCGGCACTTAATTGAACGCCCGTAATGCATAAGATCAATTTATATATTGCGTAGATTTTCAAAGATTTACTCAATATTCACGTCTGAAATCTTTATACATCTGAAAACAACACTGTCACCCCTTCCTAGCATATCGTCACGCCATCGTAATCTACGGCTTGATAGCGCATGCGCATTTGCGCTACTAAAAAAAAAATCGGGTGTTCCGGGGTAAAAATCCTTTACACAACATGAGAAGCGAATGTTCTAAAATTTACAAAAAATTACAATAACGAAAGCGATTCCTCGAAATTTTTGTGAACTTGGCAAAAGGATAACAGAATATGTAAATAAGTTAACTGAAATTGCCTAAATAACCTTCAAAGTACTGACTAAGTACAATAAATCACTACGAACATAAATCGTATACACCCCCCGGAAAGTTTACTCTATGACTGACTGACTGACTGACTGACTGACTGACTGTTTGACTGACTGACTGATTCGTGTGAATTCGCCAGCCGTCACAATAGTGTGAAGTGAAACTTCACACTAAAAAGCTATATATTTGAGTAAAAACTTCCCCTTCAAATATTTTACTTATTATGGGAAGAATTGAAATTGGTCTATAATTTTCGCATTTACGCTTATCCTCAGATTTGTAAATTGGTATAACTCTAGCCAATTTCCACTCATCTATATAAATACCAGTTCTAATAGATAGGTTAAATATAAAAGTTATAGATGGAGCAATAAGGGTTGATGTCAGTTTTAAAATATTCGCAGGTATTCCATAGTGCATCATAACCAGGCCACAGAATGGGTCATACAGAAGCCCGATTTCTTGGTTTTTCCTGTTGAGTATACCCATAATGCCGTATAGCCTGCTCGCAGGCCGAAATGTCGTTCAAAGGAAAATCGGAAAATTCGGATCGGGCCAGCGAGCAGGTAATATACTGTAAGGCGGGTTTAGGCTTTCCATGCACTTTAGCAGAACGTTCTGTTGTAGAAGGAATCGTTAATGGACACAATAAATTATCTGTATTAAAATAAATTATGCTTCCTCAAAATCTCCTTCGCAACATGGTCATGGAAAGCTTGCAAGTACGAAACTTGGCAAAATTTTTAAAAGTATATATTTTATTCAATAAAAACTACTGCATCCTACAATTTACATCATGTATTAATCGTTTAGAAAAATACTGTAAATATAATTATGAAATTATCAATTCAAGTAATAATTGTTTGCGCTGCATGACTGTCACTTTTCCACAGATTTTCTGCCATAAATATAAAATATATCTGTAGCGTCGGTAAGTTCTGTGTGGTCTACTGGAATGCCAGGAATTGCTGCAAATTTCTCAATTTCTATTCCTGCTTTGATCATTGCTGCTTTCACCATTTTCTCAGTTAGGGGAAAGCTGTGAAACTTTTCTTTGCCGACATAATAATACGTTTCCTCCAGCACACCGTTCATAAATAGGTAGCCATTTCGTTTGAGAAATTTGCAAAGTTCTGCGACGCCGCTCTTGTAGTGCGCCTCAGACGACACACATGACTCTAGGCACAAACTGGTGGACACAACATCAAATGGCTTGGCAACATCAACACCATCAAGTTGAACTATTGGTGCTTTGTTCACATCACATGGGACAATAGATTTTATTTTTCGTTTCACTTCATTAGCTGCGGCATTTAATACACGCTCGAGCTTCTCTTTGTCTGCGGAAGATTCACTACTCCCGTCTACAATGCCACGTCCTTGTTCGAGTTCAAGAACAGCGATTTTAATTAAAGGCATCCAGTCGTGGGCGTCTGGGTCGCCAGCAATCTACGACTTCACGGCTTGTCTATTTGCTTCTGTATACTCCGAAAAGACAATATGATCCACTTTTCGAGAGGCAAAAATAACGTTCATTATAGAAGGTCCACCACCAAACTCGAGATATCGAACGTTCGTCAGTTGGCGCCTTAAAGCTGGACCAAAACTCATGCAATACTTTAATAAACGGCAACACAGAAAAGTTTTTATAATACTGTTCGAGGGACGTTTTTGGATCAAAATGGGCATGGTAATCTTCTGGGTTCCTTAAGTTGGCCATTTCAGCACGGATTTTGCGCTTCCCAAAAATATGATCTCTGTATCGTAGCGGGTCTCCTTTCACAATGTTGCTCACTAGCATACAAATAATTCATTGTCTTGTCTGCATCGTTTCCTGCAGTAATACACGCGCTTCCGACGGAAAATATTATGTCACATTGTCTATCAAGTAAATCTGCAAATCCTGATGTTGAGGCCCCACTTTACTATAAACTTGTATCACAGAATCAAACTTTTCACGTTTTTTTTGTTCTTTTACACGTTGGTGACGGAGCCAATTTACTGGACAAGGTTCATTTATTCATCGTAATTAGCATGGGTAACACGATGGTTTCGAGCGCAATTTGGATAAAAGTGCACGAGTCTTTCAAAACTGACCAGTGCTTGTTTTATCCAAATTGCACTCAAAACGAGCCTATTACGTATTAATAACATACATAAAAATGTTGGAGGCAATGGTGGTCTTAACTAAAAATATATAGCAAAGAGACGGTGTTCGTAAATAAAGGCACCGGATATATGACACTGGAAAAAATGGCGGCAGGAAATTGACTAATACGGAGAAAATGGCACGGCAAAAAATGGCACTGACCACTGTCCACATTCATAATTTCAGATATTCATACATACACGTTAAATAACATACTTGTAACATGATCAAACTATTTTAAAAGTTGATGCATGTGTTCAGTTACCCTGAGAGCAGAGGCTGATCTCCCTTCAGGAAGAAAATAAGGCTCTGCCATTTGAGACTCACGGATGCTGCGAAGCATCGAATCGGGCTGCGAATCGGCCCTTTCAGAACCGGAATCGGGCTGGAGCACGCGTTCGTTATTTGATTTGGCAAACGAAGCACGACAAAGGGGTGAAATGGTAAAATTCGCTCGGCGCCACTTTCTGTCACTTTCATTTGATCTTATCCGTGAGTCGACCTCAACGGCCTTTGATTGTGTTTAATTTCTGTCGAGCATGTCCTGTTGGCAATATTATGGTCAAAACATGTCAAAAGATCACTTGTATTTTTAGAATGACTGCCAAATTTAGAGAACCAATCGCATGCAGTTATCGCTACATGCTGTGCGCGTGCAACTGCACGTGCTATACAGTTACAACGATTGCAAAGTACAGGTATCGTGGACAGATGTGTCAAATTTTAAAAATCAGGAAATAAAAAACATACCTTGACGAAACAGGGTCTAATACGAAGACAAATGTTGATGAAGATATGTCGGACATTGCTCTCATCAACAACAGCTAAGATCTTGGATAAACCCGCCATTGCTTCGAGGGTTAAATCACATTCCGGGTCGTCACGATCGTCCATTCCCGTCATCATCGCAGATAATATTGTTGTTGAATGTTTCTGCACCTAAACAACAACGGTGTGCAATGTTTTTTTCAAGGGAACATTGGCAATAAAAAATTAGTTTGTCCCATTCAAAATAACTCTTAAAATTATATATTAAATTTTATTACCGATTTGTCATATCGTTCTTAGTTCTCGAAATATTTAGACCGAAATTAATTAATGAGCTGTCCGCCATCTTGGACTAATTCTTGACCTCATTAACTACGGTTTTGATGACGTCAGGAGTTGGGTCAACCACATAAAACTACTCTAAAATGACCGAGTAAGAATCCACAATTGTTTGAAATGTTTCTCATCATTTCTAGATTTCAGACAGCAACCAGAAACATCGTTTTGGACTCATATCAATCGCGTACTCTCAAGATAAAAAAATTTGCGCGAAAACTTGAAACTAAGCAAGATATTGCTCGTTTGCAATAGACGCCATCTTGGTTGATTTTCGTGGCAACTAAAAATCTATAATCTTATATTAAACTCTATTACAGATTGTTTATTCTTTGCTTGCACATGACGTCACTACGTGTCATTAAGCGCCATCTTGGTTGATTTTAAAGTTTTGTCCAGCCGTTTACATCGAAATAGTTAACTTTAATATTTTTGGTTTGTTTTGAAAACATCTTACTGTATTATGGATAGTTTTAAGAGTTCTTTCAAATGAGTAGACTTGCCACAAGTCGACCTCGAACGAAACGCGAGCGACGAAGTCGCTCGAGCGAGCGAGCGAGCGAGCGGCTCGGGTTTCGTTCGAGGTCGACTTGTGGCAAGTCTATCAAATGAGCTAAACTATTTTTTTATTGCCAATGTCCCTTAAGGTGAAAATGACGTGAATCTTTCGTTAGCCAATTTAAACACCTCTTAAGATACTGAGGATCGTATATACACAGTATCCAGTCTGTATTTAGTTCTGAGGTGGAAATATTATTAAATTGAAAGAATTCATGATTTTTTGATACAATATAATCAACAGGGTGAAGTCACAACGTTAGTATGAAAAATAATAGTAAACGCAACGAAGTCATGCGATCGAGTAGCAACTGTCGAAGGATTGAGGAATTGTGTCACAACACAAATGGCTTCCGCTGTTTGCACAAATTTGAAATTACTCTGAAATTTCTTACAGGTATAAAAAATAGTTAAGCATTGCGTACATGTGGTTAGCCTATATGATTGGCAATTGTTATATCGTCATATAGCTGATTTCGTTCAATATAATGAACGAAATATCTTGGTTGATTTTTCAACCATTGAACCATAAAATTTTTGTTCTTCATTCTTTGTCGTATGAAGCCAGATACCGTATAACATAGCCATAATACAGCAACCTTTTTAAAAACAAACCAGAAAATGTTAACTTATGTTACTATTTCGGTTGTAAACGGCTAAAATAAAATTTTAAAACTCTTGCTCGCTCAGTCCCAAGCATGGTAGGTGGCTAAAAGCTGCCAACCTTTGGATGTTCATATCTTGAGTTCAGTGCATGCTATGAAGACAATAATACCACCATTTGATTCAGTGAAAAAATCAAATAGTTCCTTACAATAGTTTTGGTCATTATCAACATTGTAGCGATTTATCGCCTCTGAAAGGCAAGCGAGATTGTGTATTATCGAATTACTCAATAAAAATATAGACTGCCCGTACCTTTCGCTCAACATATAACTTCGGCCACGCTACAGGGGTAATGTGACTCGAATCAGTTTCCGACGTTTCCCGAGTGCTAGGACAGCATTATATTGTTTCGACAATCAGTTTGTATTTCCGGTTGAAGCTCTCACTAAAAATTTAGATATTCTGAAATACCAAAATAAAAGATGCAAATCTGTAGATACAAGCTTGAAAATAACACTCTGAATAGTGTTCTGGATTCTGATTCGAACAAGACTGTTACGAAAAAGATAAGTTGAAAGGGACCGCAGTTCTGTTCGGCGAAAGGTTATGCACTTATGCCTTGGTAATACATTGACATTGTTTACATTGTTCGGGAAAATTGTGTGAAATATGGTATCGTTTGACTTCTAAAGATCGTAAATCGCTATAATGCATGTTCATGTTGACATTTTACTGAACCAAAGATATATGAACCTCCAAAGTAAACCAACGATATGATATGTCGATGTCGATCTGCTTTAATTATGCGCAATAAAAGAGTATGCTGGAGCCTTTAACTACAACATTTCATAAACCAACGACTCTTTCGTATGCCTTTAAATTAACTACAAAATTCCATAAACCAACGGCTCTTTCGTATGCGTTTAATTAACTACAATAATTCGCACATGCGCAGACTAAAAACTGTCACACTAAACATTTTTATGGTTTTCAACATAGTAGTTAGCTGCGCATGCGCAGGCTAACCACAAAAAACGCGCAAGTTGTTACAGATCTGCAAACAGGTTGCAACAAGGTTGTTGTCAGGCCGATACATAGAAATAATAGACATAGAATGCGTGCTAATGACGAATCATGTCCCCATTTTTTCAGGTGCGTGCCCTTTTGAATGCGCCATTTTGAATTTTGGCCAGGGGTGCAAACTACAAAGTATAAACAAAGCTAAAACTACGGTTTCATCGTCAAAACGTTTTGTCTTGTTGTCTAATTTGTAGTTTGGGGATAGATTTTGAGTTCCTTGAAGCCACAAACTGTCAAAGCAAATGTGCAGTTACAAAACACTATGAAAACAGTGAAAATCGTGCAGCCTTTTAAAAGCAAAGTAGTTTCGCGAAAATATAATTTACTCAAAACATTTTTGCATGCTCTAAACGTAACTGTTTTGCTAACATCTTATAAGATTACAAAATGATAGTTCTTTCTTCGTCGGGTTTCGTTTTTCTGCAATGTAAACGAAGTGTTTTCATGTTCTTGAAACATTTTATAGTTGTCGATAAACTGTAAAATTGCCTAAAAATAATCGTCGAAAACCATGGTTTCAAAAGCGTTGCCTCAAGCTCAAGCAACGTAGAAAAATACGAAATATAATTGTGTAAGTTTAAAAAGATTATTGAACTCCAGTTATACTGTAAAAGAGTTGAAATATTTGTAAAACATACCTATTGAGTTTGTCTTTATCTTTTGTGTTTTGTTTTGGCTCGCACAACAACATAACGTTGAAAATGTATTCTTAAACGACGATTTCTGCATATATTCTGTTCAGAACTAAAAAAACCCACTGGAATGGGTTTTTAGACACTTTTCCTTAGTTTACCAAACTTTTTTTCCATTTTAAGTCCCGATATAAAATTTTTTGCAAACTTTTCAGTTGAAAAAATAATTCGCACTCCGTGCAACCATAGATTAAGTAAGAATATACTTCATCTGTGGTGCAACCGCGCGAAATTCCCTGCCTCAGGAGTCTGGGACCAACCAAAATGCCATTTTCAATGCGCCATTTTGTGGAGACAAATTTTTTACTGAGAAAAGATAGGAGCACGCATTCTATGTCTATTATTTCTATGGGCCGATATCAGGATGAGTTTGCACTGCTTGTTCCCAATTGTTTAGAACACGTATAGAACACGTTGCTATCATTGCTACAAGGTTGAGGCTTGCTATTAACAGACTTGCTATACAAGTTGTTCGAACAAGACTAATACAGGATGTTCGTAACAAGGTGCAACGAGCTTGCTGTCATCAATTTGTTAACAACTTGTTACGTGCAGACGTTATCAGACTTGTTGGTTTACCTTGTTGCGAGCTTATTGGCCTCATCAACCTTGTCACAAGATGACAACAACTTGTTCCAGACTTGTCGACAACTGCGAAGAAGCACATCTTGTTGACATGCGGTGAGATTTTTACGCGTGTAGTATATCACATTACATTACGTGACATGACATTGGATTACAGCACAGCACAGCAGCACATCACAGTACAGAACAGAACAATGCAGTACAGAACAGTAAAGTATATTATAAACGGATATATTCATATTCCTTAAGGCCCGTTTACACGGGCGATTTTTGCTGCGATTTTAGTTGCGACTTTCTTCTTTTGGAGGATGTGAAGGAGTAGATTACTCAATGATGTTGTTATGAGATTTCATAATCTGGAAAATTTATAACTGATCTACTCCTTCACATGCTCCAAAAGGAGAAAACGCAACTGAAATCGCAGCAAAAATCGCCCGTGTAAACGGGCCTTTATGCTTACCAAAGTTTCATGTGTATTGCCAACATTTCCTAAGCCTCTGATACAGTACTTCCGAACCACGTGATCGCTGTCAACCAATCGCCCCATCATATTCGCAACAATCATATCCACAAGTTCCAGTTCGCCACCACACTGGCAGTTTATCAACTGAAAATAAATTACGTATATTACATCCTTATCATATAGATACTATATATTATTATATAGTTTTACGAATGGATTTACAGATGTCAAAATTTGCCTCGTAATGCACACACTCTAAAAACATTAACGAATTAAAATAACCAGGAAATTCATCCAGGAATATGAAGTTAACCGAAATCGTTTTATTTCTAGGTTAAAAAACCTGGAAATTTTACAACACGAGTTGTTTCAGAGGAAAGCGAAACAATGTTTCGTCCAATAAAACGATACTGTGACGACGTATGAGCGAATTCACTCACGGCAAGTTCTCGAATTTTGGTATGACTTTGTTAAAAATATATCTGGGGCCGGTTGTACAAAACTCTTAATCACTTTTTTAATCACTATTTTGTAGTTAACTAGTGATTAAACTCTCAAATAGGCGCTTCTTATTGGATGACGTTTCCACTTAACTATGATTAACTTTAATCACTTTTTTATACAACCAGCCCCAGAGGTATAAAACATATCTCTTATGCAGATTGGTACAAGTTAATGCTCAGGGAAAATTTCCGAGTCTCACACGGAACGTGAACCCGTCACTTCCCTGCCGCTCGGCCATCAGGTAATTTGTCCTGAGCTACTGCACATGGAAAACAAAACAAAACAAAACAAAACAAGTTCTCTGTAGGTTTGCATGGCGATAAAACATATAATATTATTGTTTGTGGAAACATAGACAATCCAGAAGACAGGGACTGGAAACGCCTAATGTTTTGCGCGTGCCATCCGTGATGTGCTTGCGTGACGCTTGTGCCATCATGCCATGTGAGTGAATGACTGAATGGCCTGTTGCTTCGAAAAAGAATAAAGCGATAGATTGTGGACCGGTACTTGTCTGCTGTTTTACAGCTCTTTATATACTGGAAAATTGTTTAAATAATCTACACCGAAATGGGAGTTAATAATAATAATAACTTTCAGGCACGATTCAGGTTTGTTTGCGTATTTTAGTTTTCTTTAATTAAGTTTACGTATATATTTATTCAGTTTTGCTTCACTGTAATTACGTATATAAATTGATTGAAGTTATCTTCTCGAAGTTTTCCTTGATCTGTATTTTAAAATTTGAATTTGGCAATTTCGGTTTAATTAATATACCTTCCATTTTATTGACAACAAATCCTTTCTTTCTCGAAAGACGAAAACCCTTTTTTCTCCATTATTAAAAAGAAATAAAAACAAGGTTTCAGTTATTTTAACGGTGAGTTTTGTATGTTTACCACTCTTAACTTTCGACAATGCCAACAAGAATGCCAATGGCAATGGCGACTTTTTTGCTGTCAAAAACATTACGCAATCATTAAAAGGTGGTTTTTGCCTTTGTTTGACCCAATATAAGTTTAACTAGGGATCCAAGGATAGTGTAAAGTTTCAAATTGAATAAGATCGGGAAGAACTGCGTAGGGTCTAACGGGTTAATAGATTTCACAACGTTACGTTAGGCCTTTGTTTTTTTTTTGTCTTAGCGTGTTTTTTTTTTTTTGTTTTATTTGTTTTCAATAACGGCACTAATACGATTTGGCCTAATTCTTCATCTAACATACCAACCCTGCACGTTACTCAAAAATGTGGATTAGAACAAGGTTTTTACGAGGGAAACAATTCATTGTCACTTCCTTCGCCGTGCCTCGTGGAACTGGTACAATTTATTTATTTATTGTGATGCTACACGAGACAACTCGAAATTTAAATTCTTTCACCAGCAACCAAATTTTGTATATTCTAAAACTACAATTGCATTGGGAGCTGTCGCTGAAAGTATCCCCATGAGGCTACTGATATACTAAACTTATTTAAAACTATCAGCGCCTATATTGCACATTTAACTATTGTCTCAGTGACACAATTGAAATAGCTGTATAACTACAGTGTGTCCCAAAAAAGTACCCTCTATAGAAAGTATCTATCCTATTGTTATAAGGGTACTTTTTTGGGGACACACTGTAGTTAATATGACGTTGCATCCCATTACAAAAACATAAATCCAAAACACAGACACATAAAAATGAGGCGAAAAAATTCATTTAAATGACGCATTTTATCCCTATATCCGTTCCGCACCCGCTCCATGGATCCGCTAGGTTCCGCATCCGCTTTCCGCATTTTAACTTAGTTGTGACATGTTTCTCAATAACAAGTCTCAATGACCTTTGACTTTATATTCCCAAGGCCAGAGGAGGTTGGACAGCAGGCCGCAAAGCATCATGGGTATTGAGTGCCTAATTCCACGGCGTGGCTTCATTGACTGTTGACTATCGAGGAGTGAACATCTCTCTGACTAAACAAATATGGAAGCTTTCGAACGACTATTGTGTCAGAACAACATATTGCTGTAGACCTGTAGTGTTGCGATCCTCATTATGACTTGTGTTTTGCTATACCAAGTTTACCTTTTTTTAAATTGCATGGGACGTGCTGTCATTTTAGTTTAGTTCATAAATAATCCGTCTGAGCGAAGGAATTGTGTTTATATAAATATTCCCAAATCCCAATAGCAAGGGTCTTCTTTCTAAGTTGGATGGCGTTAAATCTCCGTGTATCATCAACGTGAAAACAAGCGCAGTATTTAAGGTTGGTATACTACAATGCATATTTAAAGTTATCTTGTTATTTTATAGTCAAATATTTTCCGCTTTGTTGTTTTTATTCTTGTACTGTACTGTACTGTACTGTAATTTCAGAAATACACTGCACAAAATTATAGCGTAATATTTGTGTTTATTGCCTGTAGTTTGACCCTATTGTGTGTGTTTATGTACTCTGTCACTGTGATAGTTATGTACATGTTTTGAGTTAAACAAATTGTTTAATAAATTTTTGCTGAAGTAGTATACAGTATAGTTATATATTTTTCAATTTTCATCTGTAAGTAATATTGCCATATTTGTGTGTTGTTCTATTATTACTGTAAATAGTGACACACTTTTGCATTAGATTGCTAATTTTAGAGATTACAGTGTATGTATAAAATAAAAATTTTCTTGTTATGATTTTGTAGAAAGAGATCTACTTGAGTGGTTGGCTGGTCTTGAACCTGGTCAGGATGGATATATGGTAATGAAGGTGATACGGCAGA